AGGAGAGGCTGAGGGACTTGGGTCTTTTTAGTCTGGAGAAGAGAAGGCTGAGGGGGGATCTGATCAATGCTTATAAATACTTAAAGGGAGGGTGTCAGGAGGATGGAGCTGGTCTTTTTTCAGTGGTGCCCAGGGACAGGACAAGAGGAAATGGGCACCAACTTGAATAGAAGAAGTTCCACCTAAAGATGAGGAGGAACTTTTTTCCTGTGAGGGTGGCAGAGCCCTGGCAGAGGCTGCCCAGGGAGGTGGTGGAGTCTCCTTCTCTGAAGACATTCAAACCCCACCTGGACACATTCCTGTGCAACCTGCTCTGGGTGGACCTGCTTTGGCAGGGGGGTTGGACTAGATGATCTCCAGAGGTCCCTTCCAACCCCACATGATTCTGTGATTCTGTGACCTGATTAAACTGCTGGTTGCTCTTCCTAACCCAGCACTCACTCTGAATACAGCCCTGCAAGCTATGTTTCAACATGGGGTTTGTCACATCCTACGCATCCTGCAGCCAGCTGCCCATAAGGCAGTCAAGTCACATTCCAGAGGGAGCTGCATGGTGGCAAGGGTGCTCTACAAATTGTTTGAATGGTAAAGACCTACTTTAAACTGGTTTAAAAGCACCGATTTTAGCCACTGACAGACGACAGCTAGCAAGAATTCTAGGCCCTGCCCTGCCCTTCTGAAGTCTGTCTCTTCAGAGGCAGAGCTGGCAGAAGAAAAGCCGTGCTTCCACGTGACCTGTGTGCCCCTGCTGTCACCGCAGTGCAAATCCACCCAGATTTTAGGCAAGGACAGTAGAGCGTGAGCAGGGAGGGTGATGGATGGAAACAGGGCCCCCCCTCTGCTGTGGGTCAATCGCCTACTCTCTGCCACCGGAGTCTCCACCACCACAGATTGGACTGACTGCTCTGGGGAGGAATCCATCCCAGTCTAAATCGTTGTAAAAATGATGCCAACAGCAAAAGCTCCCAGTGCCTCTTCAGAGATGTCTTTCAAAACCAGCCTTTGTTCCCAGCTGCCTACAACAGCTGCACTTTTTTTATGTAAAGCCGACGACAAAAGTAAAACTACCTAGTGACTCTTCTGCACTGTGAAGAACTACACCTGAAACTACAGCTTTGATTCTACTACTGTCAATCACAGCACAACACCACCTAATATTTCAGCAGCAAGACCCAGAGGAATTTTCCACCTCTCTCATCTGCACACACCGCTTCCCATAATTGCTGTCTCACCCATTTGCTCATCCAAAGGCTTTCAAGTGGATTTTTAAATCGCCGTTTTGCTGCTCTTCACGCCTACCAGGCTTTATTAGCTGGCAACACGTTGGTGCTTCAGAGAGCAACGCACCGTAGAGGACACTCTGCATCCAACAGTGCAATTAACAAGCTATACTGAAATTGTCTACGAGGGGTGACACTGCAGGACCCCAACCAGCATCCATCAAACTGTTTCTGTGATCTCTTTCCACGCTCCCTTTACATTCAAACGGAATATATAATGTTTCCAAGATTAATCTGGCTTTCCTCATCATCTGTGGAGGAAGACTGATTCTACTTTCTAACAAAATCAATTTCATGAATATTTATCGTTATATTATGCTTCCAGGAGCTGGTAAATGTTTACCTGCAAAACTACACCTAGCTGAAGGTAAGATAAAGCACTCTGCACTTACAGGCTGTCCAGCAAATGTTCTTCGACCTCTCACCTGACCGCCATTGCTCCAAAAACCCAGGAGAAATACAGTTTAATATAAGATCTAACCCTGTATTTTGGAGGAGACAGGAGGCACTGTATGCACACTCCATGCACCAGTTAACTGAAGAGAAACAAACAAACAAAAAGTTAGGGCAAAAAAAAAAAGATTCTTCTCAACTCCATCACTGTACAGTAATCAACTGCTTCTGCAGAGTGTTTTATTTCAGAGCAGCGAGGAGGAAAGCATTTAGCTCCTACCCAGTCAGCTTTCCTTCTGCTCAGCACATGAGAACCCAGATGGTTTAAGAGATGGGTAATTGAAATAGACGGTAGTTAACATTGCTGCTCTGAATTCTGAGGGTATTTTATTTCAAATCTGAAAATAAAAAGAGAGTCTGCAAGTCTGGTCTGGATTAAATGGAACTTGGTTGTGTGCCAGAAGCTAATTCATCCCATTGAGATGGGCCTCAGGGATCCTGAAGAGACCACCTGCTAGCAGGAATAAGGATGAAATCAGGAGCAACCTGTCTGGAAAGGGAATGAATATTGTGCCCAATGGCAGCTAGAAATTTAAGAGTAGGGTTGGTCTTGTTTTTTCAGCAGAGGCAGAAAGCCAGCAGCTCTGCTGTATCCTTTAAGTCCACGGCTCCGTGGCAAACTGTGGTTCGTGACTTCAGAAGGACATATTGCAAGATACCTTTAGCAACTCTCGAATGTTGGTGCCCAGAAGAGAGGACCAGGTGCTGAGTAGTGTGGCCAGCAGGTCGAGGGAGATTATCCTCCTCCTCTACTCTGCCCTGGTGAGGCCCCATCTGGAGCACTGGGTCCAGTTCTGGGCTCCCCAGTTCCAGAAGGACAGGGAACTGCTGGAGAGGGTACAGCAGAGGGCTACAAAGATGATGAGGGGCCTGGAGCATCTCCCTTATGAGGAGAGGCTGAGGGACTTGGGTCTTTTTAGTCTGGAGAAGAGAAGGCTGAGGGGGGATCTGATCAATGCCTATAAATACTTAAAGGGAGGGTGTCAAGAGGATGGGGCCGGTCTTTTTTCAGTGGTGCCCAGGGACAGGACAAGAGGAAATGGGCACCAACTGGAATAGAAGAAGTTCCACCTAAAGATGAGGAGGAACTTCTTTCCTGTGAGGGTGGCAGAGCCCTGGCAGAGGCTGCCCAGGGAGGTGGTGGAGTCTCCTTCTCTGGAGACATTCAAACCCCACCTGGACACGTTCCTGTGCAACCTGCTGTGGGTGGCCCTGCTTTGGCAGGGGGGGTTGGACTAGATGATCTCCAGAGGTCCCTTCCAACCCCACATCATTCTGTGAGGAAGGAGCTGGGAAGGTGCTGCAGGACTCCACCTTTGACTACACAGCTTAGCTTTCCATCCTCCTCTGGCCGTTCCCAGGAAGGGAAATAAGCACACCTCAGTACAAACTACAGCTATATGGTGCTATAAATGCCTTTCCATGATAAGACCATATCAAGGTCAAGACAGTTGGATAAATAATTGAAAATGAGATTTCCAATTCAAGCTGCCTACTCCCAGCTTTGCCCAGAAATTCAATCTCCGCCTCCTGTTTCTAGAACCAGTTGAGATTTTTCCCAGCATCCAAAATATCAAAGAACATTTAGAGGGGAAAAAAAAGCCCAAACAACAAAACAAACAAAAAAAACAAAACCAAAAAAAAACCACCCAACAACACTATTGCTTTTATATTCAGTTACATTGCTATTATGTGCTGAAACTCCCCGGTGACTTTGAAAAGCTGATCATAGAATCATAGAATTTCCCAGGCCGGAAGGGACCTTCAAGGTCATCTAGTCCCACCTCCCCGCAGTCAGCAGGGACACTCCCAACTAGACCAGGTTGCCCAGGGCCTCGTCGAGCCTCTCCTTGAATATCTCCAGGGATGGGGCCTCAACCACCTCCCTGGGCAACCTGTTCCAGTGCTCCACCACCCTCACAGTAAAGAACCCTCTCCTAATCTCCAGTCTAAATCTGCTCCCCTCCAGCTTGAAGCCATTCCCCCTCGTCCTGTCACTGCAGGCCTTTCTAAACAGGCTCTCCCCAGCCTTCCTGTAGGCTCCCTTCAGGTACTGGAAGGCTGCTATTAGGTCTCCCCGCAGCCTCCTCTTCTCCAGGCTGAACAACCCCAGGGCCTTCTGGGCTGCAACTGCATACTGCCTGCTCATGTCCAGCTTCTCATCCACCAGCACCCCCAAGTCCCTTTCCTCAGGGCTGCTTTCCAATACCTCACCCCCTAGTTTGTATTGGTGGCGAGGATTGTTCCGGCCCAGGTGCAGAACCTTGCATTTGCTCTTGTTGAACCTCATGAGGTTCACCTGGGCCCACCTCTCCAGCCTGTCCAGGTCCCTTTGGATGACATCCCATCCCTCTGGTGTATCGACAACACCACACAGCTTGGTATCGTCCGCAAACTTGCTGATGGTGCCTTTAATCTCCCTGTCTATATCATTGATAAAAATGTTAAACAGCACCGGCCCCAGCACGGACCCTTGAGGAACACCACTTGTGACTGGTTTGTGACTGATCAAAATGCCAGGAGGGTTTTGTTTGTTTTTTTTTCCACAGACTCAATGGATCGAATTGAAATGTATGAATCCTTCTCTACCCACCGACATCCTCCCCGCGCTCCCCGAGGACGCCTTTTACCTGTCTGCCACCACGTGTCCACGAGGGTGCAGCGCCCTTCTCCCACCACGTTGTAGAACCACTGCCAGGCTTCGTGGTTGATGGGCTCTCCCACTAGACCGACACAAGAAAGGGAAGATCCTGAGACCCAGGGTGGGGAAGGTGACAGGAGGTTCAATCATTAAGCAGAACGCCCTCACAGAGGTTTTTTTCTGGGATGTGCAAAGGACCGCGATGCGCTCATGGAACCGAGGACTGATTTATTTATATTTTTTTTTTCCCCCAGAAAGACCAAAAGGTAAGCAATAAACATCACTGAAAGTAACTAATCAATGCAGGTCGCATACAAGAACCTCTAGAAGCCTAAATAATGCAGGAAAATGCAGCTTAGGTCACCTACGCCAGTAAAATTCAAAGTGATGTCATTCACCGCTGGATAAATATTTCTTGCAAAGAATGTGATCCTTCAAAATTAAGCTAGGAAACAGGCAGTTACACTAAGGTTCAATGGCCCCAGCTTCAGTTTGTTTCTCCTTCTGCTGAGAAAATATCTGGAAAGCCAAAGAGGGAGCCTGCTTTGTTATCTGTTTTTAACCACATCCCATCTGGTCCAGCTGAGCTCCTCTGGTACCTTTCATTTCACCAGCTAGAACCCCCCTGACTTTTTCGGAAGAAGATTTCACGCTCCTTACCTGACCCCAAGGTCTTCAAGGATGATCTGTCGTATTTCTTCACCCACTCTTCTCCATAATTCAGCAGCAAGCGGATAGCCGTAGGTGCTCCATAAAACTGATTAATTTTCAACCTTTGTACCACTTCCCAGTAACGACCTGCAGGATCACAAACAGGCTTTTTATCTACCTAGCACCAACGTATGGCCACAAATGCTGAGCGGGCAGGTGAAGAGCCAAAGCTAAAGCTGTGACTACTCTGAGGACACAGCAAAGCCAATGGCAACCTTCTTTTTCTTCACCCTGGACGCACAGATGCTCCTGGATGTTCTATAGATACGTGGTCCAAAGAAACAGAGGTCCAAGAAAGCGAGCAGGCAGATCAATCACAGCAGACAGGTTCCTAAATCTCCTCTGTCCCGCTTTTTGTCTAGTCAAACCTTTGCCCCACCAGTTCCTCACCTGGGTCAGGGTACACCGGAGTGCTTTCGAAGAGGACGGAGGTGGCTCCGTTGCAGAGCGGTCCGTACACAACGTAGCTATGTCCCGTGATCCAGCCGATGTCAGCCACGCAGCCAAAAACGTCGCCTTGCTGGTAGTCAAATACATACTGCAAAGACAAACGTAAGGCCAGCTGACTCTCCGTTGGCAGGCTCAGAGCTTAAAGGTAAGGTGCTGGACCCGGCATCCAAGTTGGGGCAAGAAAGCCCAGAGGGCGAGCGGAGCCAGGCACCCAGGAAACAGCAGTACAAAGGCCACCCCGAGGTGAGGAAGCAAGACAGAGTGACTGGTCCCAGGGCTTCCAGGCTCCTGACTGCTTCTGCAAACATACGGGGAGGGTGGCTGTACCAGGAGCTACTCAGATCGGAGCCACAAAACTCCAACCAAAGCCCAGAAAGCTCACAGCCCCCCCTGGTTCCCAGGAGCCATGTGACTTCTGACTTCCCTCACAAACGGAGGGGGCAGCTCTTAACCAGAAGCAGGGTAAGACCATAAAAAGTGGTGCTGACAATGCAAACGCTCCTCTAGAGGTTTGCAGACAACTTGCAATGCCCAGCTGGCAATCTGCACGGACATCTGAGATGAGAAAGCTCAAGATGATTCAAGGATTGGAGCATCTCCCTGATGAGGAGAGGCTGAGAGAGCTGGGACTCTTTAGTCTGGAGAAGAGAAGGCTGAGGGGAGACCTTATCAATGCCTACAAGTATCTCAAGGGAGGGTTGAAGGAGGAGGGAGCCAGACTCTTTTCAGTGGTTCCCAGTGAGAGGACGAGGGGCAACGGGCACAAGTTGGAACATAAGAGGTTCCACTCAAATATGAGGAGAAACTTCTTCACGGTGAGGGTGGCAGAGCCCTGGAACAGGCTGCCCAGGGAGGGTGTGGAGTCCCCTTCTTTGGAGATTTTCAAGCCCCGCCTGGATGCCGTCCTGAGTAACATGCTCTAGCTCTAGGCAATCCTGCTTCAGCAGGGGAGTTGGACTAGATGATCTCTATGGTCCCTTCCAACTCTAAAAATTCAGTGAAATTCATTGAAAGATGAGCTGGTGGTACATGCTGGCAGCCCAGAAAGCCAACCCCATCCTGGGCTGCATCAGAAGAAGCATGGCCAGCAGGGCCAGGGAGGTGATTCTGCCCCTCTGCTCTGTGCTCCTGAGACCCCACCTGGAGCTCTGTGTCCAGCTCTGGAGTCCTCAGCACAGGAAGGACATGGACCTGTTGGAACGGGTCCCGCAGAGGGCCACGAAGATGATGAGAGGGATGGAGCACCTCTGCTGTGAGGACAGGCTGAGAGAGCTGGGGTTGTTCAGCCTGGAGAAGAGAAGGCTCCAGGGAGACCTTAGAGCAGCCTTCCAATATCTGAAGGGAGCTCCAGGAGAGCTGGGGAGGGACTCTTTGTCAGGGAGTGCAGTGACAGGACAAGGGGGAACGGTTTGAAATTGGAAGAGGGAAGATTTAGATGAGATACCAGAAAGAAATTCTTTCCTGTGAGGCTGGTGAGACACTGGAAGAGGTTGCCCAGAGAAGCTGTGGCTGCCCCATCCCTGGAGGAGTTCAAGGCCAGGCTGGATGGGGCTTGGAGCAACCTGGTCTGGTGGGAGGTGTCCCTGCCTAGGGCAGGGGGGTTTGAACTCCATGATCTTCAAGGTCCCTTCCAACCCAAACCTTTCTATGATACCTAAGGTTGCCTACCCCAGGCAGTCCACGTGGTAAAGTGGACCTTGAGCTGCAGGGAGGCTGCAGCCTCGGAGGCTCAGACCCCTCAGATACCAGCAGGTTTCCATGAGAAAGCTGGAGAAACCGATATGTGCCCATGAAACTTTTTCTGCAAAATGTTCTTAGCTGCTCAGCTTCTCAATCAGTGTCTCGCCTTCTAGACACTCTCCTCTCCCTGCTCATCAAATTCAAGGTAAATATCTTGGAGAACTCATTATCTTGTCTTGGTTACAAAAAATACTTCCCACTGTAAATCTACTTCCTCAGTCATATCGTGAAGAGGTCCTGACTCATAAGGCAGAGTCAATTTTATCTTTTAAATGAAAGAAGTTGGATAAGAACTAAAAGAAAACCCCATGATGTAGGACAAGAGCGTCACACGTGAGTGTGCAAAGATCACAGAGGCCACACAGGTCAGCTAATCCCTCTACCTAGAAGAGCCAATTCTCACCTTTCCTTTGCACATGCCTTTCCCTGTCAGGCTCTAAAGTACCCACTAAAAGGACCACAGCTGCACAGTGCCACCTTCACTTCTGCACCAGGGTGCAAGATCTAACTTTAGGACTAAGACAGAGAGAGAGGTGCCTTGGCGATTGAGCTGTCACTTAGAAAAGCTGGCGCAAAAAAAAACCCTTCATGCAAAAGAAGTCTGACGCCCACACATCCCAATCTTCTAAAACTCCAACTGTGTCAGCCTAAAGAAAAGAAAACTCCTGCCTGAATTGTGCGTGATTACAAACAAGGCGGTACCGCTAAGGCCAGATGGAGATCTTCCACTGCAGCCCCTCCACATTTCACTGTTACCTTTTCATACGCAGAGCTGAGACCAGAAGCTTCAAGAAGCAGTGCCTTGATTTTTTTTTTTGTTTGTTTGTTTTTTTGGTTTTTTTTTTCTTTTAGGGAAAGAGGCTTATAACATTTAGCCTAGATCACGCGGAAACACAGCGCAAAGGTGCGACCACAGAGCATGGATGTAATTTTTGATCCTTCAGAAAAGTGCTAATGCAAAGAGGTTGTTTTAAGAGTCCAGATCCCTCCTGAAATAAAAAAAAGACCAAACCACGACGTGGGGTAATATTCACATTACCCACACCAGTAAGATACTTACTGCAATCTCCTCAGCCACATCACTTTAACGTCCACAAATTTTGGCCTGCAACACTAGCGCATTTTAAAGGCAAAAAGCAACAGTTCCCTTCCTTTCATAACTCTAGGCTCTGGTTTGCATAGTCCCGTATTCCCCAGGAACAAAGCCTGAAGATTAATTACCACGTTCTCCTGTCAATTTTTCACTTTGTTTACACCCACTGAGCCAACTGGGCAGCGGACACGGAACACAGCAACCCCCACCGGTCCATGAGACCTCTCATGAGTACTGCTGGGAGGTGAGTGAAGCCTTTCCAGGGGATGGAAGTGGAGTTACCTTGTGCGTGACAGCGGCGTACAGCAGGTACCCAGCCTGGGTGTGAACGATTCCTTTGGGCTTCCCAGTGCTGCCCGAGGTGTAGAGCATGAAAAGCACGTCCTCGCTGTCCATGCTTTCTGGAGCGCACACAGAAGCTGCCTTGGCCATCTCCTAAGGGGAAAAAAAAAAATAAAAAATAAAAAATAAAAAGGCGGTAATGACAGAAAGACTTTGACTGGATGGACCCAACCAACACTCCATCTGTAAGCATGTCCGCAGTGAGCCAACGATGTGCCCTTGTGGCCAAGAAGGCCAATGGCATCCTGGGGGGCATCAGGAAGAGTGGGACCAGCAGGTGGAGGGAGGTCATCCTGCCCCTCTGCTCTGCCCTGGGGAGGCCCCATCTGGAGCACTGGGACCAGTTCTGGGCTCCCCAGTTCCAGAAGGACAGGGAACTGCTGGAGAGGGTCCAGCAGAGGGCTACAAAGATGATTTGGGGACTAGAATATGTGTCATATGAGGAAAGGCTGAGGGACTTGGGTCTTTTTAGTCTGGAGAAGAGAAGGCTGAGGGGGGGATCTGATCAATGCTTATAAATACTTCAAGGGAGGGTGTCAAGAGGATGGGGCCGGTCTTTTTTCAGTGGTGCCCAGGCACAGGACAAGCGATAACAGGGCCAAACTTGAATAGCAGAAGTTCAAACTAAAGATGAGGAGGAACTTCTTTCCTGGGAGGGTGGCAGAGCCCTGGCAGAGGCTGCCCAGGGAGGTGGTGGAGTCTCCTTCTCTGGAGACGTTCAAACCCCGCCTGGACACGTTCCTGTGCAACCTGCTGTGGGTGGACCTGCTTTGGCAGTGGGGGTTGGACTAGATGACCTCCAGAGGTCCCTTCCAACCCCGTATCGTTCCGTGTCCAGAGACAAGAACCGCTGTTGTCCCCTTGCACACGTCTGTGGATGTACCATAGGTTATATGTGCTCACCTAGTGGAAAGGTTCCTGTGGACATGTAGCACCAAGCCCCTCTGCCAATACCCATGCCCAGCACAGAAGTCAACGGGAATTGGCCAGATAAAATAATATTTCAGGTATAAAAAAAAATGGTGGATCACAAGCTTACACTTCCAGCCTTTGCAAGCTGCTGGTAGAAAACCAAAGTGTGACCGCAAACATGAACCACACTTGACAGCAGCAGCAAGGCTGGCTGGATACTGTTTCACTGAATTTCACTGAATTTTTAGAGTTGGAAGGGACCACAGAGATCATCTAGTCCAACTCCTCTGCCAAAGCAGGACCACCCACAGCTTGTCAGAGCACGTTACTCAGGAGCATCCAGGCGGGTCTTGAAAATCTCCAAAGAAGGGGACTCCACACCCTCCCTGGGCAGCCTCTTCCAGGGCTCTGTCACTCTCACCGTGAAGAAGTTTCTCCTCATATTTGAGTGGAACCTCTTATGTTCCAACTTGTGCCCATTGCCCCTTGTCCTCTCACTGGCAACTACTGAAAAGAGTCTGGTTCCCTCCTCCCTCAGCCCGCCCTTGAGATACTAAGGTCTCCCCTCAGCCTTCTCTTCTCCAGACTAAAGAGTCCCAGCTCTCTCAGTCTCTCCTCATAAGGGAGATGCTCCAGTCCTCGAATCATCTTTGTAGCCCTACGCTGGACTCAGCATAGGACCTTCGTTTTCATTTTAAAACCACAGAGCTGCAGTCAAACTGTGCATTCATCTCCCTTTCCTGGACCCAGCAGTGGATGACTGTCCTATCCATTTGATCCTCAAATTCTAATCGCTTCTACCTGTGAGAAGGAGAGTGCTTTTCTCTCCTGCCTCTGTCACTCTCCTCATACTCCACTGTTTGGCCAGGTCGGGGAGATCCTCTCCTCACCCCTACACTCAGAACCACGGGAGGGAAGGATGCAAAGTTCAGAGCAAACTTTTGGTCCAGCTTGAGTGCCCAGACCAGCAGAGGAAGAGGAATAATAGGCTTTGAAAGAGATGCTTGTGGTCACCACAGAGGGCTTTGTCTGCCCAGACAGTAGATTTTTCAGGAAGAGGCTGAACATTTTTCTGAGGCGTGTACAAACTTAATTACACGCAGTAATCACCGTGTGTTCCAGATGCTCAACATATGGCTGCTCAAAAAGCACAGCTGGCTTGCTTCTCTCGGGCTCTGCACTGTCCTAGATGAATAACGATTCCAGCAATGGGTTATTAGGTGGCTATTTGAAGGCATTTTTAGGTACTGCCTTCTTACAATTAACACTGTAAACGAGCTATATTTACAAGTGAACACTACCAGCAGCAGGTCCAATTGTTTGTAAGAGCCTGACATACAAAGCTTAGTTAAAATACGAAGAGCTGACAGAGTCAGGTGTCATTTGTAGCCTCCGAGCTACAGCACTCCTGCTCCTCTCGGGTATTTATTGTGACAATTCAGACTGACTTGTCAGTTTTTGACACTAAGAAGGAGTTCTCATAGGCTCCATTCCAACACCAGCTGGAATGGTGCACTAAGCCATTGCACAAGAGCTGGAAAGCACAACTGCCATAAAGATCAGTCACGACAGAGTTAACAGCGTTAATGGTTTAATTCTTGTTGTTTCAGACCCTACAACTGACAATGGGCTCAGCTCTCCATCACCAAAGCCCCTCAGGCTGTTTGCAGACTAAGGAAAATCATCAGAAATGCGCTTTGTGGAGTAAGAAGTAAGACAATTTCTGTATAAAACCTGCCTTCTCTGTTTAACTTACCCTAGTAGCGGCTCCTATCTCATCTGACCAGCACAGGGACTCCTGAGTAATTATCTTGGCTCCAGACGGGGGATTTCCAGGCATTATTGCGATGAGTACTTTCTGTTTACTGCTGCTGGCAAACTGATAAAACTACTTCTGTGTTGGGCTTCCGTCCTGTGCGTACCAGCTAAACGCATTAAAATGTCTGCTGTTTTCTTCCCCAGGAAGCACAGGTTCTAAATATTCCCAAGCCACGGCTGTCCTACCATCGCGGGGTAACCAGGACACTGTCTGTAGGGCTGTCCCCCCCCAAGTCTCTCCAGGAACTTGGATTGTTTCTGCGCTGCCTTTCAACAGCGTCCTGGACAAATCGGGACAGGGTGTGTGGACACGGGCCGACAGCAGCAGCGGCGGTGTTGGTGTCAGGAAACACCCCTTCCTTAAACCTCAGCGCCGTTTGCCAGACTACAAAAAGGGAGCAGCACAGCTCCTCCACCCACCCTGAGCTGACTGACGGAGCTGCTTCCACTCCCAGCCCCAGCAGACTGTAAATACAGGCACAATCCATTGAAGGATGAAGATCCAGATGCCATAAGGGGCATAGAATCATAGAATGGTCAGAGTTGGAAGGGACCTTAAAGATCATCCAGTTCCAGCCCCCCTGCCATGGGCAGGGACACCTCCCACCAGACCAGGTTGCTCCAAGCCCCATCCAGCCTGGCCTTGAACCCCTCCAGGGATGGGGCAGCCACAGCTTCTCTGGGCAACCTCTTCCAGTGTCTCACCACCCTCACAGCAAAGAATTTCTTCCTAGTATCTAATCTAAATCTCCCTTCTTTCAGTTTAAAACCGTTCCCCCTTGTCCTGTCACTGCACTCCCTGACAAAGAGTCCCTCCCCAGCTCTCCTGGAGCTCCCTTCAGATCTTGGAAGGCTGCTCCAAGGTCTCCCCGGAGCCTTCTCTTCTCCAGGCTGAACAACCCCAGCTCTCTCAGCCTGTCTTCACAGCAGAGGTGCTCCATCCCTCTCATCATCTTCGTGGCCCTCTGCGGGACCTGTTCCAACAGGTCCATGTCCTTCCTGTGCTGAGGACTCCAGAGCTGGACACAGAGCTCCAGGTGGGGTCTCAGGAGCGCAGAGCAGAGGGGCAGAACCCCCTCCCTGGCCCTGCTGGCCACACTTCTCTTGATGCAGCCCAGGATGGGGTTGGCTTTCTGGGCTGCCAGCGCGCACTGCCGGCTCATGGTGAGCTTCTCATCCACGAGCACTCCCAAGTCCTTCTCCTCAGGTCTGCTCTCCAGCAATGGCTGCAGAGAGCATCCAGCATCTCCTTTTAATCTGCAGAGCTCAGGTCCAAAAGGCGCAGATGGGGAGAAAGGTGATCTAGCCAACCCTCAGACCCCTAAGGAGTAATCCGGAGTGCCAGTGGGTGTCTGTGAGGACATACAGATGCTGTCACTGCAACACAGCTGTATCCATCAGCCCACAGGGGTACTGTGACACCACAAGAAGAGCATCTCACCCCGAAAATCAGCTCCAGAAGTGGTGTAAAGGCCAGTCATTGCTGGTAGGTCTGGTGTGGCTCCACTGGAGTGCCAAGAGGCAGCGCAAGCAGCTGCTTCATGGCTTTTAGCTCAGCTCACCTATGCAAGGGAAGTATGGAGGCTACTTGGTCTTCCTTGGCTGCCAACTCCCAGTGTAGCCCACAGCAGATCAAAGACCAGAGCCAAATATCAGAGCGTGTGTGATCTACACGTTCATCAAGACTCTCACACGTATGTTCTACACAGCCCAGCACTGGGTCTCTCAGAGATGTCCAAGTGAGCTGGTCCCTACATTTATTAGCACGCTTATTTCTCTTCCCTAGCACCATGTTCACAACACATAAGGAGAAACAAGGAAGGTTTAACACCACCAACATTACCTCCTCAAGGGAAACATCACGGTCACCCATCTGGACTTCGTTATCTGTCCTCTGAGCCACAAAGACGTGTTTGATGCTTGGACAGCTCTTCACAGCTTCATCCACAGTTGTCTTCAGCTCGATGATTCGGCCTCCCCTGACCCCCTGGTTGTAGGTGATAACTGCTTTGCATCCAGCTAAAAAGAGAAAAAAATTAGCAGGTATACCAGCCCGTTTTTCAGGCTAGTACGTGTGCTCTGCTTTCATTACTTTGGGGGATGATGTAAAGTACAACGTGTGTGACAAGGACACAGAACTCATATCAACCTAAACCAGTCAGCATCACTGACAAAAACACTTGAAAACCTGAGACCCACAGAGATGAGGGGTAGCAGGAACCTCCGTAGGTTATCTAGGCCATCTCCTAGATCATGGACCTGTTGGAACAGGTCCAGCAGAGGGCCACGAAGATGATCAGAGGGATGGAGCACCTCTGCTGTGAAGACAGGCTGAGAGAGCTGGGGTTGTTCAGCCTGGAGAAGAGAAGGCTCCGGGGAGACCTTGTAGCAGCCTTCCAAGATCTGAAGGGAGCTCCAGGAGAGCTGGGGAGGGACTCTTTGTCAGGGAGTGCAGTGACAGGACAAGGGGGAACGGTTTGAAATTGGAAGAGGGGAGATTTAGATGAGATGCCAGAAAGAAATTCTTTGCTGTGAGGGTGGTGAGGCACTGGAAGAGGTTGCCCAGAGAAGCTGTGGCTGCCCCATCCCTGGAGGGGTTCAAGGCCAGGCTGGATGGGGCTTGGAGCAACCTGGTCTGGTGGGAGGTGTCCCTGCCCAGGGCAGGGGGGTTGGAACTGGATGATCTTTAAGGTCCCTTCCAACTCTGACCATTCTATGATTCTCCCAAACCAGAGTTGGCTCCAGCCAAGCCCTTTCCTACGGCTGTCAGTCCGATCTTCCTAAAACACTCCGATGTTCCCACCAGCCCATCATGAAGATGAGAAAGTCTTTCCCAATGTCTCACCCTGGGCACCACTCACAGCAGTTTAAACACCTCCGTTCCTGCCTAGCAAAGCCGACACACTGGAGTTTCTTCCCAGTTTTCTGTGTTGGAGCAAATATCACTGCTCTACCCTAACAGCTCACACCCTGGAAGCAGCGCAAGGCTTCTTAGGACCTTAGTGAACAAGCACCTTCTTTACCCTTTCCCATCCTCTCTCCAGGACTGCACACAACCACAGGAACAGCACCAAACTCTGCAGCCGCTCGGGAGCGTCCTGGTTTGAGGTAAAACAGAACTAATATTTTGTTCTGTAGTTTTTTCCTTTTTTGAGCTGGGCCTCTTCTAACAAACTAAACTCTGAGATTAACAGCGTATTGTTCAGAAACTGTTCACTCTCACAGGGCTAAGACCTGATTATATCCAAGGAATGGTGTGCAGAGAGGCCCCTGCTTATACTTATTGCTATAACAATCAAGGTCAGGTAAATTCGTTATCTGCCCCGTTGGAGGGTCGGAAGCGGAAAAGCGTAGAGGGGTCACACCTGTGGGGAGGAGGGGACAGGACAGGTGACCTAAAACTGACCAACAGGGTATTCCATCCCATCTGCATCATGCACAGCATAAAAGCTGAGGGGTCAAAGCGTCACTTCTCCTTATTCAGTGGCCAATGGCTGAGGAGGACCCTGCCTGTTCATCTGCCTTTGATCCTGATCCGAGCGTTCCTGACTCCAGAGCCAGAATCCAGCCCCTGTCCATCACCGAGTCCAGCCTTGGACCTTTCCCTGTGCCTCCTGGTGATGTGATCATCATCCTGGGAGCTTGATAAGGTTTTGTATATACTGTATACTTTTTTTTCCCCCCCTTTTTTTCCCCTTTTCTTCTTATTATTTATTATTTCATTATTTATTAATATTTTCATTAAAGTAGTTCGGTTCTTTCTAATCTCATAAATCTCTTTTATCTCTTCCTCTCCTCTCTTTTTCTTAGAGGAGGAGGAGGTTGGGGGGGGGGCATCACTCGTTCTGGTTGGTCAATCTGGCCAAAATCACGACACGGAGGCGTTACCCTGCTCGGAGAGATACCTGCAGCCTTCCCAAACTCACCCCGACCTGGAGGGGAAGCCTCCTGGAAGCCCCAGCACACAGCAGCTCTCTGGCAGAGCACTTCCAACCGTGCCACGCTCCGTTAATTACGGAGCTGTGGCTGCAGAGAAATGGCTCTTTAGCCCATCACAAGAGGCCAAAAGTGAGGGATAACTAAAACGGACTCGCTCTCTATAGATTAACTCTGCAGGGAAAAAAAAAAAAAAAAAGCATGAAAATTGCTCTAAGACTTATTCCCTCGCGCCAGCCATAAAGAAAGGGATGTGACTGCCAGGACACGAGCCACTTGCTATTTTGGTTTTCTGCTGGTATTTTTAGAGTTACTTTTTACCTAATCAAGCTGCAAGTGCTGCGGGATGAGAACATCTCTCCTTCTCAAGCTGGGGAGGGAAGGGGCTGCCAGCGCTTCCCAGCGCCACGCATCAATCACAGCGCCACAATCCAGGCTGCAGATTTAGCACCATGTGCAGGAGCATCAAAGAAACACTGGGAAAGAAGAAATCAGGGCCCCACGCCTATAAGCTCTGGCTCTCCCTCCGGCTCCACTGCTGTCTGGCAGCAACCCAGCCCAGCCTGAATGTTAAGCCATTTATAAAAGTGTTTTAAGGGCAGAGGATGCCGCGTCTGTCGCTAAGGAAAAGTACATTGCAAAGGAGTAAATTATCCTGCCGGCCGAGAATGAACCTTTTTTCTCCTTCTGCCAAGAAAACGCAGAATTGGGATGCGCTTTGGAGCACCGTCCCCAGGGGTTTGTTCCCCAGTCTGCATCTAATCACAGAATTGTCAGAGTTGGAAGGGACCTTCTAGGGATCCTCCAGCCCAACTCCCCTGCCAAAGCAGGGCTGCCCAGAGCACATCACTCAGGAGCATCCAGGCGGGCCTTGAAGATCTCCAGAGAAGGGGACTCCACACCCTCCCTGGGCAGCCTCTGCCAGGGCTCTGCCACCCTCACCCCAAAGAAGTTCTTCCTCACATTGGAGTGGAACTTCCCATGGTCCAGCTTGTGCCCGTTGCCCCTCGTCCTGTCACTGGGAACCACTGAAAAGAGTCTGGCTCCATCCTCCCTCAACCCACCCTTTAGATCCTTGTCAGCATTAATAAGATCTCCCCTCAGCCTTCTCTTCTCCAGGCTAAAGAGCCCCAGCTCTCTCAGCCTTTCCTCATCAGGGAGATGCTCCAATCCTTGAATCATCTTTGTTGCCCTACGCTGGACTCTCTCCAGCAGTTCCCTGTCTCTCTTGAACTGGGGAGCCCCTAACTGGACGCAGGATTCCAGTTGTGGCCTCCCCAGTGCAGAGCAGAGGGGGAGAATGACCTCCCTCCACCTCCTGGCCACACTCTTCCCTACGTAGCCCAAGATCCCATTGGCCCTCTTGGCCACAAGGACACATTGCTGGCTCTACTTACAGTCATTGATCCTCCCAGCCAAGGACTCGGCACTGAATCCAGCGAAGATCACAGTGTGAACGGCACCAATCCTGGCGCAGGCCAGCATGGCCGCCACCGACAAGGGAGACACGGACATGTAGATGGCCACCTTGTCCCCTTTCTGTATCCCATACTTCTTCAGGGTGTTGGCAAGACGGCAAGTCAGATCCAGAAGTTCCCTGCGGCACAGAAGCAACCTTGTGACACCACCCACACAACCCGTTTTACGCGGGGGAGCCAAAAAAAAAGGGTGAACTTGAAACCAAGGAAGGCATCACCACCACCTCTGGACCTCGTCATCACCAGCAGCAGAGGGCACGACCAGCTTTTGTACCTTAAAGAAGGGTGGCCTGGGGTGTAGTGAGAGCCAGAATGCTCCTGCCACTGGGGAGAGAAGAAGGATGAGCAAGAGCTCTGCCTGGACCTGCTGGGATCATGAGTGGGTAGAGCAGCCTGTCCTGCTGCCTCCAGAAGTCCGTGTCCGTTTTAGCCCTGCCTTGATGCCTTTTTCAACCAGGAGGCTCAGACAGAAGCTGCTGGGAACATGTGTGGGATAAAGAGGAGATGAAATGGAAGCTCTTTGTCCCAAGACCCCCGGCAACGTTTGTGCTGGGGAACTGCTGGAAGTACTTGGCAACAAGGAGCTTCTCTTTAAATTGCCAGCATAAAAAAAAAAAAAAAAAAAGGCATTTGCGTGCAGAAGGAAGAAAAGGAGAAGTCCCCCAGACACTGGAGTGGCAGGTTCTGGATCCCTTCACTGCCACTCTGCTGCAGAGCCCAGCAGCCTCGCAGAAGGGAGACACTGCCCCGAAGTCGAACCACGGCCTTGAGAAATTTGGGACCACGAAGGACGGGAACAAAGGCTCTTTTCACAGGGCCTGCCGCTGCGACGTGCTGACTTCACAGCAGAAATGTTCCTCTAAAGGAATGAAAAAGCAGCCTGTGGGGCAAGGACTTGCACAGACACTCCCTCTGATGCCTGCGCGGGGGACAACGCGACTGCAGGCGTCCCTGGGGACCGAGATGCTGCCATGACCTCACCAGCTCTCTGCGGGCCGGCAGCGGGAGGGCTTGGAGAAGAAGACAGGTAACTGTGCCTGGTGAGGAGCAGTCTCACATCGAGGGAGGAGGTGACCCTCAGGAGGAACAGCACCCCTTAACCGGTGCCAGGAAAAGACTCGCAGAATCCGCCAGGAATAAAATTGTCCTCTGGGCTCAGGAACTCACTAAGTACCAAGGCCCAGAGGGGACTGACATCTTCTATTTCACTGAATTTCACTGAATTTTTTAGAGTTGGAAGGGACCACAGAGATCATCTAGTCCAACTCCCCTGCTGAAGCAGGATTGCCTAGAGCTAGAGCATGTTACTCAGGAGCATCCAGGCGGGTCTTGAAAATCTCCAAGGAAGGGGACTCCACACCCTCCCTGGGCAGCCTGTTCCAGGGCTCTGTCACCCTCACCGTGAAGAAGTTTCTCCTAAGGAGCGGTCTCACGTCGAGGGAGGAGGTGACCCTCAGGAGGAACAGCACCCCTTAACGGGTGCCAGGAAAAGACTCGCAGAATCCGCCAGGAATAAAATTGTCCTCTGGGCTCAGGAACTCACTAAGTACCAAGGCCCAGAGGGGACTGACATCTTCTATTTCACTGAATTTCACTGAATTTTTTAGAGTTGGAAGGGACCACAGAGATCATCTAGTCCAACTCCCCTGCTGAAGCAGGATTGCCTAGAGCTAGAGCATGTTACTCAGGAGCATCCAGGCGGGTCTTGAAAATCTCCAAGGAAGGGGACTCCACACCCTCCCTGGGCAGCCTGTTCCAGGGCTCTGTCACCCTCACCGTGAAGAAGTTTCTCCTCATATTTGAGTGGAACCTCTTATGTTCCAACTTGTGCCCGTTGCCCCTCGTCCTCTCACTGGGAACCACTGAAAAGAGTCTGGCTCCCTCCTCCTTCAACCCTCCCTTGAGATACTTGTAGGCGTTGATAAGGTCTCCCCTCAGCCTTCTCTTCTCCAGACTAAAGAGTCCCAGCTCTCTCAGTCTCTCCTCATAAGGACATAAGGTGCTCTCCTAGCACACACATCTCCAACCCGTCACCTGGGAACCCTTAGGCGTCTGTAAGCTACATCACCAGGGACTCCAAAAACTGCTAAAACACAAATGAATACAGGAGCTCTGTGTCCAGCTCTGGAGTCCTCAACACAGGAAGGACATGGACCTGTTGGAACGGGTCCAGCAGAGGGCCACGCAGATGATGAGAGGGCTGGAGCACCTCTGCTGTGAGGACAGGCTGAGAGAGCTGGAGTTGTTCAGCCTGGAGAAGAGAAGGCTCCGGGGAGACCTTGGAGCAGCCTTCCAATATCTGAAGGGAGCTCCAGGAGAGCTGGGGAGGGACTCTTTGTCAGGGAGTGCAGTGACAGGACAAGGGGGAACGGTTTTAAACTGAAAGAAGGGAGATTTAGATTAGATACCAGGAAGAAATTCTTTGCTGTGAGGGTGGTGAGGCACTGGAAGAGGTTGCCCAGAGAAGCTGTGGCTGCCCCATCCCTGGAGGGGTTCAAGGCCAGGCTGGATGGGGCTTGGAGCAACCTGGTCTGGTGGGAGGTGTCCCTGCCCATGGCAGGGGGGTTGGAACTCCATGATCTTTAAGGACCCTTCCAACCCAAACCACTCTATGAATTTCAGGGGTCTGCATTCCATAGTAAGCTATAAAGCATGAATCTTCCAACCTATCCTTATCTCCCAGAACTGGCAATAGCTGTGAAAACACAAACAAACAAACAAAACCAGTTTTCAGCCAGTGGCTAAGCTGCAGATGAAATGAAACGCTGTTTCTGGTCCATCAAAAAGTGTTTAGTTTCTGTTTTTAAACCAATGCAAGCTGGAAATAGGCAAAGCCCAAGTGCTCCACTTTGGAAATGTCATAACAAAACCAGGGGCTGAGAACAACTTGGCATCTTACTTCTTTAGGATAAAACTCCATCTGCAGCGTTGAGGGCAGTGAGGTGACACAGCCCCAGAGATGGCTGGAGGGATACCGCTGCCCTGCCATCTCTGGATGGAAAATAAAAAAAATGAGCCTCGAATCCCAGCCACAGCACTTTAATGTTATTTATTTTAAGACTATTCCTGTAGCACTGAGTGAATAGAGCACTCCTGAAGCTCAGGGGCTCAGAGAGGTGGCCAGATGTGCTCAGTGCCTGCTCTCTGGCAGGAGCTGCCACCGCAGAGACACCCACAAGCCTGCAGAAAGCAGATACGGAGTGGCTTTACCCCAGACCTAATTTCCTCCTAATCCCTTACAGCTAGAGATCAGCCTAAACTCTGAAGCACAGCATTCGATACCTTTTCCCAAGCGCTTTCCGACCACACATGTTCCTGCTGCCTCCATAAGTGCACGGTCTGATAGATGTATGATTTTCATAGAATCATAGAATCATTGAGGTTGGAAGAGACCCTTGGGATCATCGAGTCCAACCATCTCCCCTACTCTACAAAGTCCTCCCCTACACCATATCCCCCAACACCACCTCTAAACGGCTCTTAAACACAGCCAGGGATGGTGACTCAACCCCCTCCCTGGGCAGCCTGTTCCAATGCCCGACCACTCTTTGGGTGAAAAATTCCTTCCTAATGTTCAATCTAAACCTGCCCTGTTGGAGCTTGAAGCCGTTCCCTCTCGTTCTGTCACTAATTACCTGTGAGAAGAGACCAGCACCAACCTCTCTACAGTGTCCTTTCAAGTAGTTGTAGAGAGTGATGAGGTCTCCCCTCAGCCTCCTCTTCCTCATACTGAACAGCCCCAGCTCCTTCAGCCGCTCTTCATATGATTTGTCTTCTACTTTTGCTTACTTCTACTAAGTTCATGAACCGAACGACTTCCATGCAGTAATGAATTCCCACCCAACGTTTGTTTTTTTTATGCCTTGTCCTAAAAGGTCACGTTCCCTGGTCCAGAATTCATCCGACGTCGCATTAGAGAAAAAAATTTCAATGCGGATAAATGCTAAAGAGCCAAAACAAGCCCAAACAAAACCGAGCTGCTCAACTGCAGAGCACAGGAAGGGAAATAAGCCCCAGAGAGGCAGTTGTGAGAAAGCAAAATAAAAACCACTTATCTGCGGTGGAAAATACCCAAGGGCTTTCAGAGCTGCAGCCTCTTTCTCCTGAGCAGAAATGCCAGAAGGTCATCCTTTCTGCACAGCTCCCTGCATCACTTGCTTATTCGGGAACCGGTGACCACGATGGCAGAAGCTCTCGTTGCTGGGGATTTTCTTCCACAATTAACCCCGATTTAACATTTGCTTAATGAGACTGTGTGAGCAAGCTGATAGACAATAAGGGCCAAGTCTTCACCCTGGGATCTATTCGCTTTGCTTTCTACCTCGTGCTCTGAAAGGGCGAGATGGGAAGGCCCTTGGGAGGTCCCATGGAGGTGCAGCACACGGGGGAACGGACGCAAAGGTAAAGGGAGGGTGAAGCCAAGAACCCCAACAAAGAAATCCACAAATCCCTGAGCATCAGGTGTGTCTTCTGGCTCCTGCAGCAGCAGCAACTCAGGCTTCCCCTCCCGTTCAATAAAGGGAGGTAGAAGAAATGCTGTGTTGGGCGTCCTTCTCGACTCCCTCACTCCTTCACAGACTTTTTTGCTATCTAACAGGCAGGCAGTCACAGAATCACATGGGGTTGGAAGGGACCTCTGGAGATCATCTAGTCCAACCCCCCTGCCAAAGCAGGTCCACCCAGAGCAGGTCCCACAGGAACGTGTCCAGGTGGGGTTTGAATGTCTCCAGAGAAGGAGACTCCACCACTTCCCTGGGCAGCCTCTGCCAGGGCTCTGCCACCCTCACAGGAAAGAAGTTCCTCCTCATCTTTAGGTGGAACTTCTTCTATTCAAGCTGGTGCCCATTTCCTCTTGTCCTGTCCCTGGGCACCACTGAAAAAGACTGATCCCATCCTCCTGACACCCTCCCTTTAAGTATTTATAGGCATTGATCAGATCCCCCCTCAGCCTTCTCTTCTCCAGACTAAAAAGCCCCAAGTTTCTCATAAGAGAGACCATCATCATCTTTGTAGCCCTCTGCTGTCCCCTCTCCAGCAGTTCCCTGTCCTTCTGGAACTGGGGAGCCCAGAACTGGTCCCAGTGCTCCAGATGGGGCCTCCCCAGGGCAGAGCAGATGGG